ACACTTATTAATGCTCACTGTATTAAAAAAGATATAATCTTAGTTTGATAGGGACTAAGGGGAAAAATGAGATAATATGACAATGTTCATATGGAAAATATGAGAAAATCTCTGTTAAAATTTTAAAGCACACAAACCATTACAGCACAGCTTTCCTTTTGTCAGAGACTTGCTGTAAAAATGTGAAGAATATATCAATGCTGTAGATTTTGGTAAATATCACCCGTGTTCAGCTGCCTGTAATAGGTGTTCTAGACCTCAGACAGTTTGGAAGCTGTAAGAACCTGCTGAAAAGCTGTGTTGACCACACGATTACTAATACAAGTGGTATTAAAAAAAAAGAAAATGTGCCTTTTATTTTTGCCTCAGCTTTGATTTGACACCGATGGAGAGAATCTAATATTAGCCTTTGATACAGGAACTTAAAAATGTTTAGAATCATAGAATCATTAAGGTTGGAAGAGACCTCCAAGATCATCGAGTCCAACCGTCAACCCAACACCACCATGCCTAGGTTTTTAACCTTTAGTAGTATTTTGTCCCTACTTTCTCACAGAAATTTTATTACCTTTTGATTTCTGCATTCTGATCTAAGGTACTTTCATTTAGCCACAGGCTATGGCTATGCTATGAGAGGCAAACTTCACTTCGATGTATTAGTTGACATATTAGTTTATTTGGCTACATACTACAAGGTTGTCTTTAAACGTCTTACCTAAATAAAGCCTATTCACTGAAATTATTTAGAGCCACACTGTGCTTTTGATCTGCATGAATAGTTTCCACAGATTTTACTGGTGTTTCACGTGTTAAATTGGACTGTAACAATAAATTCATCCCTTATTATTACTGCTTGACTACACAATAGACAAAAATTCTTATTATAATTCTTAAAAGTTTAGAATAAAGGGGTTCTTTTAGACTAGCAGCTTTTCCTCCCCCCTACTTGCCTGCCCAATATTCAATTATTGCTCATTTGTTTTCCTTTATGATTTTTTACTTCTGATTCAGTCTTCAATTGCTTCAAGTAGGAATGGTAAAACTTCTAACATAATATTTTAATTTATTGTAATATTAGTCAGATTGTCTGCCTCATGATTTGCTGGCCCAGCCTTTACACTGCTTAGAAGAAGAAATAGTGGAAAGATTTTCAGCAACATCCTACTAACACACACAGCCCTTCCTGTAACTAGAGCCCATTAATTTTTCTTGTTTTCTTCAATTTCAATGGATGAGTTTTAGCTTCTCATGAGACTCAGAGATTTAACACTGACACATTAATCATTTTGTATTCCATCATTTCTCAGGTGTAATTAAAGTTAAAATGTATCTCTCTTTTAAGAAATATGTTGTAGATTACTTTTGACAGTCTGCTAGGGGACACCTAGATAACGTTTCTCATATGCGTACTTGTGTAGAGCGCAAATAACTAAAATAGCTTTACATTCATCTAAGCTCACAATATTCTTGTTATTTATGCATATTTAAGTAAAAATAAAGTTTGAGGGAGGGTAGCTGCTGATTTTAGGGTCTTTTTCTTTAATTGTGAAAGGATTTAGGAGCTCAAGTAAGTCCTCCGAGTATCATTTATACTTTTAATGGGACATGTGACCAATTTTCCATTGATTCCCCTTGACTTTTCTACCCCACAAACATTATACTTCTGTAGTAAATCTCAGGCCCAGGCTCTGCTGTCCAGTTTGCCACTAAGGAAGGCCCAGAATGCAGTAAAAATACTGCTTTTCCATTATATAAATTGTTAGGAGAACACAAATCAAAGAACTGTCACAGAGAAATTTACTCCCTTTACAGTGAGAGAAAACCTATAGCAGCTTTTTCCTCAGGACCGTATCGACAGGGCTGGAGATGCAACCGAAGATTGACAGGATTTGAGCAACAGGTCCGTAACGCCGCATCTTCTGTCTGCATATTGCACAGTGATTCTCACCAGGTTGTTCGAACACAGTCGGACTGGTCGAAGTTTTCACTTCCTTCCCATGTGCTTGTTACTGGCTGTTTGCAAATGAAGGTTTGTAATGTAACATTTGGTCTCTGAAATATATATAATATATGCTCTTTTTTAAAAAGCCACCCCCCCAAAAAAAAAAACAAAACCCCAAGCAAAAAGGTGTATTTTAAGGGCATGAATGCACCTACAACCAGATACATCCATTAGGATCAAAAATCTACATGCTTAGACATGGCTTCCATTTGCTCTAGTAACAGCATCATTCAGCATCTTAATAAGTAAGCATCATAGTTAAGGTACGTCATAATTTTTCTGCTTTGTAGAAGTATTGAAGGAAAACATCTTCTAGCATACAGATACAACTGCTATAATTGCATTGAGCTATATATATTGTATATTTTGAGGTTCTTATTTATTTAGGGGAAAGTTACATAGAAAGTATGTTTCTACAGGTATTTCTTTTAAGTCAATACACAAGTGCTGTTCTGAGAACTTAGGTAAGAGATATTAAAGCATTCTGAGCAACCTGAT